GAATACCGAGTGGTTTGGCGTTCTGTTCTCCCACGTGTCCGCAGTCCTCAAGTCTTGACGGGGATCGTTTGTCTGCATCCAGCAGCACTGCCGTCGGCCTCGGGTAAGCCCACAGAGTATTCTGTGGTGGCGATGAGCAGCATGTCCAGAGTCGTCTCCGTGCACTTGGCAATAAAGCGGATAAAAGGCCTCACGTCGCCCTCGTTGGCCACTTCTAGGACGTGATAGTACTCGGCGCGCTGCTCCTTGCGGATGGTGATGGGCGGGTACCCTGCCTGCATCAGGATCAGGTTCATCAGCAGGCGCGAGGTCCTGCCGTTGCCGTCGACAAAGGGATGGATGTAAACCAACTTGTAGTGGGCTAACGCGGCAAATTCCACGGGGTGCAAGCTCATGGCATCTTCCGAGTTAATCCACTGCACAAACTCCTGCATCTGTTTCTCCACGTCCTGGGGATGCGGTGGGATGTGGTGTCCCACAAACACCTGGGTAGTCCTGAACCTCCCTGCCTCCACCGGGTCGGCGTAGCCCAGCACCCTCCGGTGTATCTCCAAAATATCGCTGATGGTCACGGAGCCTATCCGCGACACCAGCGTGGTATTGACGTATTTCAGAGCCGCGTGCATCCCGATCACCTCGTTCTGCTCCACTAAGCTCTTCCCAGGGACGGCGTATCTGGTCTCAATGATGTGTCGTATTTCTGACAGCGTCAGGGTGTTGCCTTCGATAGCAACCGTGTGGTAGATGTGGTGGTAATAGGACTCCTCCATCACTCGGCGCAGGGCGGAGTTGCCTTTGGGGATCGCCATCACTTTTTTAACCTTGCCGTCGATAATGCTAAAATACCTCTGGTCTATCTCTTCAACTAAAGGGAGCGTCCGGTCCCGATTGATCAAAGCCTTCTCGTTGCAGGGAGAAATGGTCAGTGCTTTGGAGTACAAGTAGTCGGCTTGAAGGATGTCCTTTTCCTCTTCAGAAAAGATACCAAATTCAGTCAGGGCATCCACGTAATCAGGGTCCATTTTCAGGGCGTACACAAAGAGTTTGTGGGCTTTCTCCCGCTTTCCTTGGCGCTTCATTTCGAGGGCTTGATTCAGAGCTGCTTTAGCTTCCGCCTTCACTTCTGAAATGCAACAATAACAGATAACGGGGTAGGGAGTTTTACTGAAAACCATTCACTGATACAAAAACACCACGCGGCTTTGTGTGGGAGGACACAGAATCTTAAATGCATTTGCTTGGCACTAATGCCAGATCTCGAAGCACAGCCCACAGCTGCTAACAGCACTTCTAGCTGATTTTTTCACTGAATTATCAAATACCTTCCCGGCAATAACAGCTTTAATGCAAACAAAGATACGGTGCTGGAATTGTAATGGTTCCTTTGAATGTTTTCCTCATTAATGTCCAGGCCAGTAAAGGCAATGGCTGCAGCCTGTGGTTGCCAGAAAGGCTGTTCTGTGACAGCCAGGCTTTCAGTGTAAATGCTGGGTATCCCAAGTATTTAAACAGGTAAGCTCTCTATTCCAGCTACCTTAACAGTGCTTACTGATACCGAAAGCACGAGGAAAATCTGAGACGAAGCAGCGCCAAGAAAATGCCAGCACAGAGCAAGGGAATGCAGTCAGGCTGCTGCGATGGCACGGCTGACCTCTGGGTCGTTAATTTGCAGCTGGGCAGTGAGTGTTGGTTACCATGACGGGGTACAGGAGATCATTGGGTGGGGGCTGTGGGTATCCAGATGTGGGCTGTTATTACACAGCAGCTCAGCTGTTCCCCTGCACCCACTCTTACCTGGGGAGGCTTTGCCTTTCAGCACCAGCAGCTCCAGCCCATTGGAGGTGACGCTCAGCCCGGTTGTTTGCCCTGTGTATCTGGTGACCCCCGAGGAACCTGCGCTCAGTTTGCTCTTCAGGAAGGAGAGTCCTTCGAGCACGGCGTGGCACTGCTCTTCCACAGCGGCCGGCGGCAGCAGCAGGATCACGAGGGAGCCCAGGAGGAACGCGAGCACGGCCGCCCACCCGACGCGGACCCGCAGCGTTAGCCATTTCAGCTCGGGCTCTGTCGCCATAGACACGAGATTCATCCTGCTTCCAGCACAGACACGAGGAACATCTCCTTTCCAACCGCTCCCACCTGGGAACAGAAACAGCTTCAGCCTGAGCTCAGTGTCACGGAGCAGCGTGGGGCTGCAGACGTGGCACCTGGGTGGATGTGAGTGCTCTGCGTTTGTCACAACTGCTGGGGGTTATCCCCGGCACCCACCTTTCCCCTCCACCTCAGCGCAGGGTGCGCGCAGTGTTCAGCAGAACGCAAATCCTTATGATAACAGCTGTACGTTAATGAGGAGGCCCATGAGCAGCGTGAGCACCACGGGGTGAGGGAGCTCGGTCCCGCACACCCATAGCGCAGCTACCCCCGCTCCCAGCCCTGCGACCCCCGCAGCCAACGGCTCCTGGGCATCCTCCTGGTGCGGAAATCCGCCCCCAGGCGCCCGTGTTCCCCTTCAGCCGCTTCTCCTCTAGCGCCGTCCCCTCCCCAGCCTGGGCCCCTCATCCGCAGCTCCTCCCTGCCCGGGCCCCCCGGTTCTCCCCCGGCTTTAGCCTCCCCTCAGGCCACCACCTTCCTCACTACCGGACCAGGGTCACCGCAGCCTCCGCTCAGG